TATATATATATATATATATATATATATATATATATATATATATATATATATATATATATATATATATATATATATATATAATTCTTATTTTCAGTAGATGCTGCATCATTCATATAGGAAAATTGGCAAACATTTGAACCCGTAGTTGTAGTTTATTTAAACTGTGAAGGTGGCTGGTCATATATAATGCTTGAGAAAACTACGCATAACATCCTAAAAAAATCCAGAAATTTTGCTGAGACAAAATCTTTATTACCAGAACTGATTTATTACACCATATCAAGTAGGTTATGTTGATGTGTGGATAAAGAAGTAAAGGCAATTTATATACGATGTTAGACATAATTAGTATGTTTAAAGTACATTCTAATTTAGTAATATGTACTTTATAAGTACATACTACTTATAGTATGGACATCATATAACTTTTTTTGTTGGTCATACAATTTTGAGTCAATATAGTAGGTCACAAATGCATTGAGGACGAGGAGTCACAATAACGTGGCTGAAATATGTCGACCAAACCACACACTAGAAAGTGCAGGGACGACGACGTTTCGGTCCATCCTGGACCATTCACAAGTCGGTTGTGAAACGTCGTCGTCCCTTCACTTTCTAGTGTGTGGTTTGGTCAACAAATGCATTGAATTTGTTAGGAACTGAAAAAACGTATTTAAATTAATTATGAAAAGTAGAGAAAATGCAGTTAAATATAGTTTGGTTAAATATAATTGTAATAACCAGGGTCAGTTAATTGGTGGTGCACATATCAGTCAGGCTACTATTTTGGACACAATTAAGTTATAAAACTCTTGTGGGTACATGGGGGCTTTAGCATAGTGCAGCAATTAAATGCTGCATGTATAAATGGGGTCCATCATATTTAATCAATAACGCTAGTTAAACATTTGCCTGTATATTTCAGCAATTCTCTTCAGTGATTTTAGTACAGTATTTACCACAAAAACTCTGTTCTGTCAATGAGTGATAATTTTCCTTTTGAAAATGTTTGGTGTTTAACTAGATGATTTGTTTGATCAGCATTGATAAGTAATGATGCTCACATTAAGAGCTTTAGTATATTTAAGGCTAGTAAATTTGTTATTGTTATGATATGAACACTACTTGTGAGATTTTTTTACGCATTTGTATTTTCTCGACTGCACCGCGTGCGTTCGCTCATTTTTTAGCCACTTGTGGACAGTAACGCTCCATTTCCTCAGGCAGGTTCACTTGATCTTCATTGCAGATGGCGAGTGAAATGATGAATTTAGACAGGGCATTGCAGAACCTTTTAAATTCAAGAACATTAGATTTTCTTTTGTATATTGCAACGTTCGTCTGGACTAGTGTGTCTTCGATAGATGTGTTGCCAGACATGCATTCTCAGTAGAAAAGGGAAATTATTTTATGATATCCTATCAAAATCATGTTTTTTAATACACGGGGGTTTGCTTTGTATTGATGCATGTAAAATATTTTTAATAAATAATGTTTCTCAAGTGCTAATTTGTTGAATTTCTGGATCTGTTTTTCAAAGACATTTTTCTTGAAACCTGGGAGTCTTTTGTTGAGTCTTGGGAGATTATTCACCGTGTTGCCACTTGGGTTAAGGCAAGATGAAAACTGACATTATTTTAGTCTTATAGAATAATATAAAAATAATAATAATATAATAATAATAATAATATGAAAATAGTAGCAAAGATGCTAATAATAATAATTTACTATCAGATTAGAGAGATTTTAAACTTTTATCTTTTTTTTATGAAGATTTGAGTCATATTTTCTTGGTTTGTGGTTAGTGTAAAAAATGTCATACTAGTTCCTAAAATAATTGGTGTAGCTTGAACAGAGTTGTTATTTGGTATAGCTTCAAAATTTAGTAGGAAATTTCAATGTTATGTATTTCATTGAAAATTTATATTCTAAAATAAATGCTGTAATCATCTTCAAATTAATGTATTTGATGTTAATGATATTCCTTGAAAATTTTTAAATATTAAAAATATTAATTTTCTTGGCGTACCCCTTTTGATGAATTAGTCACGTACATTGTCCTGTTCCATCTATTTTGCTTCTTTCTGCTAGTCCGGTGTGTGACGGCATCTGACAACTCATTTTGAAAGTTGGCATTTGATCCGATACATTACATGTATTTGGTTTAGCATTTAGTTTACCCTCTTATTTCATCATTCTTGTTACTGTGTCTTGCAAGTCATACATCTGCTCATCTCCCCAACCTTCACCTCATACATGTGGTCACCTCCCCAAACCTCACCTCATACATGTTGTCATCTCCCCAACCTTAACCTCATACATGTGCTCATCTCCCCCTAATCTTCACCTCATGCATGTGCTCATCTTCTCAACCTTCACCTCATACATGTGGTCATCTCCCCAACCTTCACCTCATACATGTGGTCATCTCCCCAACCTTCACCTCATACATGTGGTCATCTCCCCAACCTTCTACCTCATACATCCCCGCGGTGGTCCTCATCTCCCCAACCTTCACCTCATACATGTGGTCATCTCTGCCTCGTGCGGGAATCGAACCTTACGAATACCTCATACATGTGCCCCCCCTCATCATCTCCTCAACCTTCACCTCATACATGTGGTCATCTCCCCAACCTTCACCTCATACATGTGGTCATCTCCCCAACCTTCACCTCATACATGTGCTTCACCTCATACATGTGGTCATCTCCTCAACCTTCACCTCATACATGTGGTCATCTCCTCAACTTTCACCTCATAACCTTCACCTCATACATGTGGTCATCTCCCCAACCTTCACCTCATACATGTGGTCATCTCCCCCTAACCTTTACCTCATACATGTGCTCATCTCCTCAACCTTCACCTCATACATGTGGTCATCTCCCTAACCTTCACCTCATACATCTGCAGAGGAGCACAAAATGTAATTTTGAGTTATTCTATTCCAATTCCCTTAGAATCCTCTACACTTGTTGTTGTGTTGCATTTCTTGTTGCAATCTTGTATTTACAATGGTGTGCATTTAATAATTACTGTATAATGTTTGAAAAATAACAGAAAAATAGCAAAGAAGTTTAATATAACATTCTTAAATTCAAATGTGTACTTAGGAGTTGATTTAAAAATTATTCAAGTAAATTTATAAGCATAGTTCTAAAAATGTTTTTGTTGTATAGCACATATATACACTATATAATTTATATTAAATAATATTTACTGTACATTAACCTTGATGTATTCAAATTCTGCCTTTTATGTTCTCTCTTCTGTAGATTGTACAAGAATTATATAATTTTTTATTTAGTTTTTTGTACAAAGAGGAGATTTTTTAGATACCATTTCAACTAAGTGATATATCTATTTTTATAAATTCTTGAATACAGATAAAATTAAGGACAACTAGACAGTTCATTGCTAAGATAAAAGCTGTCTGGGATACAGTACAGTATTACAAACCTTATGTAAATTAGGTTACTTATGCTCAAAAGATAAATAAATGTTTTGTTATATACAGTTGCTGTCACTCTTCCTATAAACGACTTACCAGTAATGCATGTTCAAAGAATTATTGTGCAAAAAGTTTTTCTTTAAATACAAATAGGAAGAGCAAAGAGTACCATATGAACAGACAAATAAATTAGTTGAACAAATTTAATGGAGACCTACATCTTGTAATGTAGTCCTAGGCCTCTAAGAACAATTAAGAAACTACTGAATACAGCTTCATTGTCTTGAGAATACAGTTTCCAAAGAGCCAAAGCTCAGCCCCCGCAAGCACAACTAGGCGAGTACAGTACTGTGCTGTAGTTCTAAGATCTGGTCTCCAAAATTTTAGTTACTTAAACAGCAGCAGTTGTAAACCACTCCTTCCCTTCCAACCATCTCTTAAATCTGAAATTCTATTTGAAATAGTTTGATATCCAATACACAAACCTTAAACATTGTACAGATATGTTTCGTGGACGCAAGGAAGCAATTCTTCCCTATCTCTATGACCCCATACGTTTAAAATAAAATCTACTCTTACTTATGAGGTACCAACTGTAGCTGACATAAAATAATAAGAATGAGGTAAGGCATTTATCAGGAGTAAGTACCACATAATGATGATCATAAAGCATATAGAATGGGGGGAAAGGAAGGTGAAAGAAAAAGTGGGAGATAGGAAAGATCTGGGAAGAAAAAGGGAAAGAAGACAATAGGAAGGAGCAAGAGGAAGAAACGGTGTTTTGTGTCGGGGGATTCTCATGTGGGAAACATACCAAGGTCAGCTGCCTGCAAAATATTATCAGCAGTTAGGTGACTGTTGCCTAAGCTGGAACTGCCAGCCCCAACAAACTCAATATATAAGCAAGACAACAACATCCCTTTTCAATGTGTTTAACAATACATAGACATCAAGGAACATAGTCTCTACACCTAACAATAACTCCCCGTTTGTTCATTCATATACAGATGGTTTGGCGGCTGGATTAATGAGCCTTTGTTGACGTAGAAGATTTTTTTTAATACAATGTTAAAATTTATGAACCCGTCTTTGCGGGTCTTTGGCAGAACATGGCTGGATATGGTCTGCTAGGCGATGAACGAAACAAATCGTGAACATTAGCATATAAGTAATGCCATTAGTGTATAATTAGGGGATTACACAACAGGTTTAATGGCTCTGGAGGTTGTTACATGTGTAGTTGGAAGGAATGATTTACATTCCGAGGGGAAGAGGAGGAAAATGTGAAAAAGCGGTTGAGATAAGTGGATGCTGACGCAGCATCACAACCACCTGTGCTGCTATGACCACCACCACAAGTACCGCCATGAGCACCATCACCCTATCTCTGATGTGGCATCCCCCCTTGTCCCTAGTGTTCAAGAGAAAACTTGATAAACACCTCTGAACCATACCTGATATTGCAGGCTGTGATTCATACGTCAAGCTGCGAGCAGCCGTGTCCAACAGTCTGGTTGACCAGTCCAACAACGAGGAGGCCTGGTCAAGGACTGGCCGCGGGGATGCTAAGCCCCGGAAACATCGCAAGGTAACCACGAGGTAGTGTCACACTGTCCCTAGTGTGACACTTCCCCCCCCCCTCCCATCCCCATTGTGACATTTACCCCCCACCCCTTGTGAGACACTTTCCCCAGCCCTAGTGTGACACGTCCCACATCCATAGTTGACGTACTTTACCCCCATACCTTGTGTGATGCACTCCCCCCCTCCATAGTGTGACACTCCCCCCCCCCCCCACACACAAGAATGGGGGGCAGGCTGCATATTTTTGGATTGCCAGAAAGCCTTTGACACAATACCACACAAGAACCTAGTGCACAAACTGGAGATGCAGACAGGAGTGAAAGGGAAGGTACTCCATTGGATAAGGGAGTACCTAAGGAACAGAAGACAGTGTGTCACTGTGAGGGGCGAGGTTTCAGATTGGCGAAGTGTCACCAATGAAGTCCCACAGAGTTCAGTACTTGGATCTATACTCTTTCTGATATATGTGAATGATCTTTCAGAGGGAACAGACTCGTTCCTCTCAATGTTTGCTGATAATGCAAACATTATGAGGAGGCTTAAGTCAGAGGAAGATAGTAAAAGTTCAACCTGAAAAAATGTAAGGTAATGAAACTAGGCAGTGGAAAGAGGAGGCCAGAAACAGGATACCGAATGGGAGTTGAAGTCCTCCATGAAACGGACAGAGAGAAAGATCTAGGAGTTTATATCACACCAAACCTGTCTCCTGAAGCCCACATAAAATGAATAACATCGGCGGCGTATGTGAGGCTGGCTAACATCAGAACTTTCAGGAACCTATGTAAGGAATCATTTAGAACTTTGAATACCACATATGTAAGACCAATCAATAATGGAGTATGCGGCCCCAGCATGGAACCCATACCTTGTCAAGTACAGGACTAAGCTGGAAAATGTTCAAAGGTATGCCACTATGCTACTCCCAGAACCAAGAGGCACGAATTATGAGGAAAGGCTGCACGAAATGAACCTAACGTCCCTAGAAGAGCCACAGGGACGTTAGGAAGAATTTTTTCAGTGTCAGATTAGTTAACAGATGGAATGCATTAGGCAGTGATGTGGTGGCGGCAGACTCCATACAGAGTTTCAAATGTAGATATGATAGAGCCCAGTAGGCTCAGGAATCTGTACACTAGTTGATTGACAGTTGAGAGGCGGCACCAAAGAGCAAGTACTCAACACCCGGAAACGCAACTAGGTGAATTCACACACACTCATCCTCGTGAATTAGGCCCCGCGGCTGAGTGAACAGTGCTCTGGGGTAGTCCTAAGGGCCAGAGATCGATGCTTAGCAGAGGAAAAAACAAATGGGCAGAGTTTCTTTCATCCTGGTGCACCTGTTCACCTAGCAGTAAATAGGTATCTGGGAGTTAGACAGCTGCTTTGGGCTGCTTCCTGGGGATTTGTGTGCGTGTGTGTTAGAGAGAAATATGTGTAGTAGATATAATAGAGGAAACAAATTGGTTAGAAAGGTGGGGTCCAAGAGTTAATAGCTCAATTCTGCATATACAAACAAATAGATTCACGAAGGTACTTACGAAGGTTTTTACACATCTTAGCTACGAACCTGTTTTTCCTTCTTAGCGCCTTCGTTATCCTGGTCCAGGGGCCAGATTCACGAAGGTACTTAAGAATGTTTTTCTTCTTAGCTACGAATGTTTTTCTTCTTGGCGCCTTCGTGGCAGCTACGTCGGTAATTCAGATAGCTACACTAAGAAGAAAAACCTTCGTAAGTTTGGTTCATCATCTAAGTGTGCTGTCGACCACTCGTAGCTTTACGTATACTGGATAACTCAATCTTTCTGTACTACATAACACTGGGATCGATTTTAAGATTTTGGAACAAACAAAACATTATAGCTGGTGAATCTCGTGAAGAGGAGTTCTTCGTGTTAGTTATATATGCATTCTCTGCTTGAACCTTGAAGTAAATATGTCTTTTATGATATTAGAATTAGTTTTATAATAGCAAGATATTATACCAGTAGTTATTAAGTAAATAAACACTGGTGAACATGAAATATGAGAGAAGGAGATGAGCCCTGCATGATGGGATCATTTACTATCACCAAATGCCCCTGTTCACCTAGTAGTAAGGGTGTACCTTAGTTATACACACTCATTTCTAATTTATTTAGTTTGGTTTTATTTTTAAATTAAATCTGGGTGAGACATAAAAAAAAAATACGCTGCACAAATGATGTTAGGTAAGGAGAAGGGTAAAAACGTCGAAATCTTTATTCATTGAGTACTTAAAGCTATAATTATGACTATATGGACTATTAAAAAAGAGAGAGTGAAGTAGGTGTCCAAGACCTCTTCCTGTTACACAACTTGGGTGTGGAACAAGTAATTATCAAAAGAAGGCACCATGCCGGGATGGCTATGTAGCAGTAAGGTTAGGCAGCTACTTATTTGAGGAATGCTTATTTTGTTTACCTTATAAGCAAGGCAGCGTATTTTATTTGAGGAATACTCAACTGATTCCTCTGCATTTGGCATGGAACAAATTTGTGTCCAAGACCTCTTCCTGTTACACATTTTGGCTGTGTGTAACCAAACTAGAAGTGCTCTACATATCAAGAGACCCAGAATGTGAAATGACCTCCCGAATCATGTCAAAGGCTGTACCTCTCTCAACCAGTTTAAGAGTAAAACCAAGTACTACCTAATTAACTCCATGTAATCTACCTTACCCCCTAAATGTCAACTCATGTCTTGTTATTTTTTAAACAATGCTGTTTGTTCACCAACGTGTACAATTGCTGATTTCTGCTATGTTACCACTC